TAAAGTTATACTTAATACATCTTCAACAATAGTTGGTAAATGAATTTATTGCAATTGTGTTTGGAATTTAATATATGCACATGAAATTTTTAAAGAACTTATTATAATTTATGTATCCAAACTTTTAACAATTTTCGACACTAAATTGTTTATGTTTTTATTTTTTTTAAAACTCCAGTATAATTCGCAGCTGCTTCCTTCTCTGTCACATTACTGATAAAAGGTAAGTTCACTATCGATAGAAGGAGCAAAATTTCACTTAAGTTTTGCAATGTTGGCCGAACACATTCAACAATAGGCTTAGAAGCAAAAAATGCAATTCAAATATTGGTTACCTTAAACTTTAAAGTAGTTTAATGAGTGACCGAGTGAGGTCTGCAAAGAAATATAATAGTGAAGAAGCAAGGTAAAAAATAATAAATAAACGTTTAGTAGCAATAAAAAGTAATATCTGAACAAAAAATAATGTAATAATAAAATAAAAAAATAAGACAGTAGACGAATTCTAATAATAATACTGATAAGGGAAACTAGACAACACTCGACTACCTACTAAACTTCTATCGTAATCATTGAACTCCGTATCCTCCTATGTAGGGTCATGTCCTCAATAAGTTGCAAGTGTGTCATGTCTAGTCTAATCACTTTTCTCCAATACTTCTTCGACCGACCTCTGCCTCTCCTCTAACCCACCATAGTGAATCTCTCACACCTTTTCACGACATATATTTGTGCTTCTCCTCTTCATGTCCGAATCATCTTAGTCTCGTCTTCCTCATTTTATCTACCACAAAGGCTACTCTCACCTTGTTCTGAATATTCTGTGTTCATTATTTTATCTGTTCTAGTGTGCCTACACATATATCTCAACATCCTCATTTTCGCTACTCTTATTTTCTGGACGTGCGAGTTATTGACCAGACAACACTCCAGTCCATACAACATATACTTAGTCTAACAACCACTCTATAAAACTTAATGACCTTTAAGTTTTGGTGGCATAATCTTATCGCACAAGACACCAAATACGACCCATCTTATCCATAGGGATCCAATACGATGTGAAACGTCATCGTTAATCTCATATTCCTTTGGATTATTGACCCAAGCTATTGAAACTTCTTCTCTTGGAGATGACTTGTGTATCAATTCTCACCTCCATATCTGTCTCGTGAGTTATGTCACTGAATTTACACTCCATGTACTCTATTTTAGTCCTGCTCAGCCTATATCTTTTAGACTTTAGAGTTTGTCTCCAAATCACTAGTCTATCGTTAATTTTGCGTCATGTCTCGTCGATCAACGCTATGTCACCTCACGTTAGATATGTTATGTCTGTTCATCCACCATCAAAATCAATAAAAATGGGTCAAAAACTAGTCCCTAGTTAAATCCTATCACGATTGAAAAATAGTTCTAGTCTCCTCCTATTATAGTTACAATTTCTAGTATAAGTAGCTATTCACATGAAATAATTGCTTCTTCTATCTTTGATTAATTAGTTAAGGACTATGTACGCAAAATTGAGTTCTCCATAAAAATGTCAAGAGCAAACAACTAAACACAATGTTAATTATTTTAATTTAAATAGAATATAAATTGTAAATTAAACTACTTAATTTAGTACTAAATTAATTATTTTTTAAAATATAAGTTGTAAATTAAGTTAACGTTTTGAATTCACTTGTGTCAAATGACTAGAAGTTAAACCTCCACTAGATTCCCCTGCATGAAGGAAGTTGCCAATCAGAACTAGATATTCCCTCCATTTTAATTTTTTTTTTCCAATTCATTCTAAAAAGAGTGTTTATCTCATTTTGTAACTTCTTAACCTTAATTTTATTCGTGACAAAATTAAAATTATAATAATTATTTGATATATTTTAATGAAAAAATCACACCATATACACATTTAAAAGACAATATTACGAGTTTTAAACCTACTCTTATAAAGTTCTTACTTATAACAGTTTAATTACGGGTTATAACATATCAATTAAATTTAACTTTATTTAAAAATCAATTAAATTTACTTTATTAAATGATTAATCTATTTATATTTTTATATTATTAATTATTTAATTATATTGATTGTAGTTCCTTTTATATAATTAATAGGTGAGAGAAATAATATTAATGAGAGAGAATTAATTTGTAATTATCTATTACATCTTTTAAGGGATTTTTTAACTTATTCAAATAACTTTTATTTATTAATGACTATTGGGGCCTTTATTTTATTTTTTAAAATAAAAATTTATCACCGTATATTTTAACATGTAATTTTCTCTCTCTTTAATCTATTTTTTTTTGCTTTTCTTGATGTTTTTTTTTATTTTAAATTTTGATATTGTTTTTTTTAATCTGATTTTTTTAGAATCAAGAATTTTATATTTTGAAAATTTGATTTCATTTTTTATTTTAATTAATCTAAAACTTGATTCTTGAGAAAAAAAACCGTTTTACTTAAGTTTTGAACTTGTTTTTGGTGTGTTTTTCTATATCTAAAATACTGTTTTGTTGGTGAAATAAGTATATTTAATTCTTAAATGTTTTGATATATAAACCGTTTTACTTAAGTTTTGAACTTGATTTTGGTGTGTTTTTCTATATCTAAAATACTATTTTGTTGGTGAAATAAGTATATTTAATTCTGAAATTTGTTGATATGTATAGATAACATGAGATCATAAAATCTTTAATAAGGATTTCTTAAGTTTTAGCTTAAATATGATAAAAAAAATCGCACTTGAATACGGAATATAAATTGAAGAGAGAGGAAAATATAGAACTTGTATTAATTATTGCAGTTTAGAAATATACATCACCCAAATCAAAATAAAAATAAATTATGTCTTTTTTTCAGAAGGGTAATTTGAACAAGTCTTCCTATTGTGTTCCTCCCGACGACATGTACTGCACGTAATCTTAGACCTCTTGAATTTCACATCAGGAAACCATTTACAAGTTGTGGTCTCCCTACAATTCTTTTTGAACCAGGCAACAATAATTTCTACTCCGACACATTTTGAATTGCATATTTTTCTGTTTCATCATAAATTATTGTGTCAATATTATATCATACAAAAGTACAAATAACTTTTATACATATGTTATATCAATATACAAATTTCATACAATTCTTATTCACACATTTCTTACCTATTTCATGTCAAAAGTTATCAATTATTCATACCAGGATCATGCCACTAGAATACCAAAATAATTCCAACTTAGAAATATTAATTGTCATTTCTTTAATAAACAGTATACCAAATTCATTACATTATTATTCTCAAAATTCATTACAATATAATGCCAAAAAAAATTCCAATCAAACAAAAAATCGTATCAAAACATTATCGATTGTCATACATGCTTGGTAGTATAAGTATACAAATTCCAAAGAAAAAACTATCTATCTTTTTAACCAAAAATATACCAAAAAAAAATAATGTGTCAGACAAATAATGAACAAATTCAATGTTCATACCAAAATATAATATTATACATTTTTTTAAAAACGCCATAATTCAAATTATTATACACAACAAAAAATCTGAAATTGCAGTATACAAATTTCATATAATTATTATGCACATTTTTCATACCTATTTCATGCCAAAATTATACCTATTTCATGTCATAAGTCGTCACTTTTTCACAGCAGAATCATGCCACTATAATACCAAAATAATACCACTTTTAACTATTAATTGTCATTTATTAGACAAATAGTATACGAAATTCATTCAAATATAATTCTAAAATCGTACCAACATGGTATA